CATACATTTCTTCTTTTTTGTGAATGTTCCTGCTATGTGCTTGCTTTTCATTTTAGCTACCACCTGTTATTCAAAAATTGAAATTATTTTTCTAAGAGGAAGAGTAAAAATATGACAAAAAAAAAATATTCTTTGTAATGAGATCCCGCAAAGCAAGCTCTTAATTGTTTGTTGGACTATACTTTGCTAATATTCATTCATTAAAGTTCTTCATACATAGATTGTTGGATTTATGGTGTGTTTTTGGCACTTTACCGCAGATTTGAATTAATGTGAAAGAAATTGCTGCTTCCAGTGTAAAGCTCCTGCTCCACATTTTACAATAGTTAATTATATGGTTTGCTAAAATTGCTGCAGCATTATAGTTTCTGGCCCCTTACGTTGTGAAAATAACCTTTCCTGTAACGTTTGAGGTTTCCCCCCCAGTAATACAAAGTTTAGTGCTTCGGGATGTTAGATTCTTGCCTTCTTGCCCCTTTTCATCAGCTAGAGCAAGGGTGTCATCCCATACCCCTTCTGCACCTTGCCCTTAAGATGGAAGCTCCTCGTAAGGCTGCACCATCAAGTGTTTCTTAGTTAACAGTCACCACTTTTTAAGAATATTTTAATTGAAGTTCAATGGTGTCCATCATCTGGAACTGCACAGTGCAGCCTAGTGTGTAGGCTTTCAATTGGTCAACTTTATATGGGTCAATATAGCAATGATTTGAACAACTGAAGTGTATTGCCTAAACCTGTAGCCGCTCCGCTTGTTAGGGTCATGATATCTCCATTATTCCTGCGTTAATTGCAGAGTTGACGACTGTTAAGATTTGTTCATGATCTGCCCCCTTGTCCTCTGCAATCTCTATGCGTAATGCCACTAATGCCGCTGCAGATGCAACCGCGGCTGATGTTTTGGAAGATTTCTTCTGCTTGTCCGTCGCCATTTCCTGTAAGGTTGTATCTGAGCAGTAATTGCTGCAATGCAGCAGCAACCCCGACCACAGATACAGCTGCGTGAAGTTGGGCATTATGAGCTCGAATCTCTTGCTTTTTCCTTTCCTTTTGATCTTTCAACCATCTCCCCACTGTTCGCCCTCTCACCATGCTCTTGTATAGCTGAGGACATATATACAAAAAAGATCACAATGTGATGCTAAACTGAGGATTAGGTGATGTGGAATGATGAGATACCCCATTTTTGAGCATTTGTTGATTGGAAAGAAATTCTGGATGGAGTGCTTGATGAAGTAAAATAATTCCTGTAAAGATTATACAATTCTTTCTAGTTAAAAACAGGCAGTTGCTTATATTTATAGTCCTTGTTTTACATCTTTTCAATTCGGTGACTGAATAATTTAATTTAAGCCTATGAACAAAACCCCCGTCCAAAAAATTTAATGGAGGTTAAGATTTCAACTAATTTCTGATTAGGTTGTTACTATTTACAAAGGAGTGGAGAAAATATACCTTCATTTCTTCGCTGTCTCTCGGAAATCGGAGGACTGCTAATTTCATGAGTTACCGGCTGTTGGTAAAGAAGCCATAGCATATAGATTATGATTGCCAACACGTAAAAATATTATGACAAACAAAACACAGGAAAATGTTTTGAGTTTTGAAGGTGAAAAGAAATTTTCAAAGCTTTTAAGCAAGGGTTCTTACAGATTCCCTGAAAGCTGCGGACTTGCATCTTGTGTTTGAATGCTATTGCAACAGAAGATAAAGTTGAATTATCAATATGTTTCAAATTAAATGTGAGTGCCTGATAAAGCTTTGGAGAGCTCCTGGCCGATGGCCCCATGATCTAGCCAGAAACTCCATGGACCCGTAGAGTTTCTGGTGCAGCGGATGACAAGGGTAGCCAACTTGCAGGCCATTTTCATCTATATTTTCCAGCTTTTGCGATGAGCTTTTCATGCTGCATGAACTCACTAACACCACCAATCAAAGTAAGTGAATGGGTGCTGAAAAGTTTCTTCAGAAAATGGGGTTATAATCACACAAAAAAAACTTACTTTCAAGGAGTGTTACTTCACTCGGCTAAGTTTCCTTTATGGTTTGGATGCAACTTCTCATGCAAGAAAGGAGGCATGCAAGAATTAGATGATGATGAAGAGGAAGTAACAGTGAGTCAGATATTTAAAATCCTAATTTGCTGCATAATATTTGTTTATTGTGAAAGAAATTTATCAAAAGGAAAAGTGGAAACGTTATTCAATACTGCAGAAAAATGGCCCTCATTAAAGGGTGTGTTCCTCTTTTGTCTGATCAACTACCAGAATGTGCTTTTGTGCTTTTAGAAATAAAGCTGAAGCCATGTTTTTTGAGCGGCGGGATTCATCATGACTTTGTCCCCTGTTGTCACCATTAACACTGTCTAAGTATGAAATTGGGGCCCTCCTGCAAACGCCGAACTACCCTTTGGATAATGGCTAAATCACACACTGTTCAGGAGATTTGGTAGAGAATCAATGTTAGCATCCAAACACAGTAAGGTGTGATTATACGAGTTTAAGAAAGGAAAACTGTTTAAAGTGTTTTTCATTTTCATTTCCCAGAAAGAAGATGATGAAATCATAGTAAGATTCTGTTCCTTGGCACGCTCCTGCTACAACTAGAGGATTATGGGGAGTATTTTGCAATTCTCTTACGCATTTTTGCTTTTGTCTTTCACGACTAAAGAGAGTTAAAGATGTGAAGTAATCAATTGGGAAAGCCCACATACTCTTTATTCTTTTATAGTTCCAAATGGCGCCAAGTGCAAGTAGTACGGCTTCATAAAGAAAAAGCTCTCTGTTGATATTGGCAATGGGTTTGGTATAACTCAATTGAAAACCTTTTCTGTTTGGCATTTCTTCTCTTTCAAAATAAAGTTTAAGATCCAGGACCCCATCTACAAAACCCCAAGCATATATAAAAAATTTTTTATTTGGGTAGAACTAAAATAGAGAGATTTTGAAGCGTCAATTCCTTTCATCTTTGCTTTAAGTATCTAATCATGTCAACGAGCACTCAACTTGTATAGGTCCCACGTTCCACTGAAATGTATAGGAAACTTTGATGATCAAGTTTATTAATTTAATCATTGAAATTTTAGAATTCCAAGGTTGATTATCTCATAATTTTCAACACAAAGTCTACAACCCATGGTAGATTAATTTTATAATTACTAAAATTTTCCGAGGGCATGGCATGGGTATTATTATTATACAAGTCATTACAATAGATGATCATACGATGGAAACAGGTCCCAGTTCCACTCAGCCGCCATCCATCATCATGCTTAATACATAATACTTAATAACGCACCATTAACAATTACTGCCAAGGCATCAATACAAAATACCTAATCTCGCTAACAAAGTGATTTAGGGGTTGAAACTTTGAACCAATCAAAAGTGCAATTCGTAATAATAATTTTTTCCTTTTTATTATCATATCCATTATCATAGAGTCCATATACATGACAAAATCACACCCATTTCATTATTAAATTCAATTAACATCTAAAAATAAGAGTGACTCTTTTCTTCCGGTTTTTTTTTTTTGGGTTTTTTGCAACTTCATTATATTTGGTTTGGTGGACATTTTTTTTTATCCTTAGGAAGTTATGTCAGAACTTGGTAATTGAGATTACCTTCGTCTTCTAACCATTGTTTTAAAACCCGGATCGGAGAGTAACCCACTTTATTACCCAAGTCACAGGTCAACCAGTCCAATAAGTTAGACCAATTGATTGGACCAGTGATGTTAGCATAACCAAAAAAAATATCTTCTTTTTCTGAAAATTTCACATTTTCAATAAGAATACCAACTTAATTACTACCCAATTCAAACTCAATAACAATCTCAACATGATTTAACTACAATCCAAAGTCTCCAAACATTATCTATTACAAATTAAATGGCAAAATACATAATAACTAATAACAAAACCTTTGGTGTAAGTGTTTTTTACATACAAATTCAGTGAACAAATTATGCATCAAAGCAATAAATTATCAAATAAAGACAGTGAAAATATCTTTACAAAAGAAAAAAGCATCGTCTTCGTCGATTTTGAGCAAGAGAGGTGTTGACGTCATCGATTCCAACGAAGGAGGGAGGCGTCGTCGTCGCCAAAATCCAGCAAGTGAGATGCTACCTTCGTCGAGCAAGGGAGAAGGGAGGTGCGTCATTGCTGAAATCTAGTGAGAGAGGTGCTACCATCATCGAGCAAGGGAGAAGGCAAGTGCGTTATCGTCGAATTCCAGCGAGGGAGGTGCTGCCGTCGTCGAGCAAGAGTCCAAGGGAGAGTAGAGTTGAGATGGAGTTGAGAGATTGAATTGAGACTGAGTGCAGTTACTCATTGTTTTAAAACCCGGATCGGAGGGCAACCCATTTTGCTACCTGGGTCACGGGTCAACCAGTTGGACCGATAACATCAGCAATATTTTATTTTAAAAAAATTACATATTAACCCCTTAAATTTCAATATATTACAATAATTCCCCTAAAAAAGTTCAAATTAGTTCCTAAAATTTTTATTTGTTTCAAAAATTCCCCAAGAAAATTATCAATTAACCCCTAAACTTTGGACATCTCCAAAACACCCCTATAAAATTACAAATTAACCCATATAATTTTAAAATATTACAAAAACCCCCCTAAGACCTAAACCGAACCGAAGAAGCTATTGGGTCCCGATCCAACCGACCAGTTCGATCTTTAAAACAGAGCAATTACTTTGAAAAGGGAGTTGCAATTTTGGAGAGTCGAGAGATTAAAGAAAGTGAAGTGAAGTGGAGTGGAGTCGCATGAAAAATACTTAGATTTAGGGTTTTTTCCATTTGAAACATTGACCCAGTTTACTAAGCAGTCCGGTTCGACCGGGCGGGTTGCACTGTTTATCCGGTTTAATAGCGGGTTTAAACAATTTTTTAATTAATAACGGTTTTATATTAGTTCGGACCGGACACACAATCGAGTCCCGGTCGAACCGGTTGGACCGACCGGTCCGGTTCGGTCCAGCTTTTAAAACAGAGCTTCTAACAATAGTCTTCTAACAGCTTAAGCATGGACGAAGAGCTATAAGCTTCTATTTAAGGTCTAAAGGTGTCTTGCAAGTTGCATCAACACCTATGAGTGGGAAAACTCGTAAATATGAAAGTCCTAAAGCATGCTTCATGCAAAGGCAGATCAACACAAGCATGAACATTGTGTAGCAACCAGATTATAAAAATGCTCTTCCATCCAAACTGTTATAGTTTCCCTGAAATCCCAGATCTAATTTTCCCTGAAAAAATACACAATAATGTGAGCATAAATTTCCAAAGAGAAAAATAAATAGAAAATGACAGTGATTTTTGTTGGACATGTTCCTGCAATCTTGCAGCTAACGAATGATAGCAGACAGTGAAAAAAGAAATACTTGTGTTATTTAAAAGAGCAGAAGTGAAGTGCATCAAATACCTCATAGTCACTAAAATATTAAGATACCAGAAATCCATTCAACAAGCAAGGTGGACTTCCTCCCTTTCATATATTAAACCCTCCTCTCACACCAAATCTGAATCATATTGATCTGGCAAACAAGACACAAAGCACAGAAATGCCATAGAAGTTCAATATGCAGTAAAACAATAACAGTAACAGAAATAAAATCCATAAAACTTAGCATGATAATCCGGTACCTGAAACGCTGGATTAATCCTTTTATTTTTCAGATTCTGAAGGATGTGGGTACCTAGATTCAAACTGATCCAGGTAAACATCCAGCAATTTGTTCCAGAAAACAAAAGGCAACAAGGATAGAGCATGAGAATCCTGAATTATATGAGATACATTACCAAAACAACCATATAACTCAAAACAGACTTTCTCATCTATTAACAGAAGAATGGAAGAAACTTTACATATAATCCATTGAATAATTAGACACGAATCTGGCTTCAGTCATTTTTCCCATCTATGCACGCATGAAAAAACCAAGCTTTGATGGGCCAGGTCTTGGCACCATCCAATGTGTCTGTGCTTGTAGTCACCTTATAAAAATTACATTATACGATCTGGCAGATCTTGCCACAAAGAATTCAAGCTACCAAACTTCACGAAGCTTGCAAAATTGTGTTTCCAGATCCCTTCAAATCATGGCTGAAAAGACCAACACCAATGCTTAGTAGATGATCAATATCATGAAGTACATAATATACCAGAAAATAAAGCCAGAGAATGTAAAGTTCCAGTACCAATTACTTAGCAGAAGAATTTCGGTATAATGATGGCATCCAGCTGCTTGAAGCACCAGTTCTGTTTCCATTTCCACGACCAGCATTTGCAGCCTCATCTGGTCCCTCAGGTAAATTTCTTTTGAAAGCACTGGGCACAGCGAATGAAGTAGATGGCATTGGTGCATTGCTCACATTCTGCAACAAGCATATTTTATGCTGGGATTTATAATGACTGGATATAAAGAGAAACTCCATCACAGTGAAACTCCTAAATGCAACTTAAAGATAGAGATAAGCTGTATCAAGTTCATCATGCATAAACATATGTTTTACAGCATAGATGACTTACATGCTTCTCAATCGGGTTACTGGAACCTACATTCTGAGATATTGATGATCCAAGATGCATATCCATATCTGGACGAGTGAGCTTATATGATCCCCTCCGATCCATAACCTCAGCAGAATTTGACGCATCATTGACTCCTAAAATCCAAGAATGAACCCAAGGTATGATGGATTTTGCAAAATAGGATTCCAAAAACTTAAGAATCAAATATGAGATTGCCAATTATGAAGAATCAGATGATACATAGAATGGATATAAAATAAAAACCAATTTAACACACAGGCGGGAATTAACCATTGCATACCAAACCCAAAACTGTAAATGAACAGAAGTAAATTTCATTTGAAAGTTGTGCAAACTACTAGATTAGGGTGAGGGGTCCTTGTGGGAGGAACCCTTATTAAGAATCTGGAAGCATGGTCTAAATCAGTTTTTAAGATGCATAAATATATTGATCATTATCATGTACAAAATAAAGGCTTCTCCGATCTAATGGAGATACAACCATATGATAATAACAAATAGAAGATCTTAACATGTTTTTCTTGATCATGATCAGTACTTAAAAGTGTAATATATTTTACTCTATGTTAGGATCCCGCATTGGAAGGGAAAAGGTTGAACATGTGGGTTATAAAGGGCTTGAACACCCTCTCTTGGCAGGCCGGTTTTCCAAGAAGAGTTCTACCCAAGTCTACAAAAGGCCCACTGCCCAACCCAATTGTTTGAGTTGTTAAATGGATATCTATCAAATGGTATCAGAACCAAACCCCGCCCCAGCCCATGTTCCGAAAGGGGCAACCTGGGAAAGGGCTCCCTAGGAAAGGGCGACCTCTGAGAGTAGGCCACTTAGAGGGAAGTCGTCCAAAGTGGACCAACGATGTTTCGGAAGGGGTGACCTAGGAGAGTAGGCCACCCAGAGTGAAGCCGTCCAAAGCGGGTCAACATGGACGTTGGGTCTCGAAGCCTGAGGGAATGTTAGAATCCCAAATTGGAAGGGATAATGGTGGGCATGTAGGTTATAAAGGGCTTAAGAACCCTCCCTTGACAAGCCAGTTTTCCAATGAGAGTTCTACCCAAGCTCACAAATGGCTTACTGCCAGCCCAATTGTTTGAGTTATTAAATGGGTATCTATCAAAATTTGGCTCACTGCCCAGCCCAATTGTTTGAGTTGTTCAATGAGTGTCTATCACTGTACAACAAAAAAGAAAGCTTATTTATTTAATCTAATAAGAAACTTATATTCCATCTGCTAACACTCTGCCAGACAAAAAGTTTTGAAACATAAACTAGGCAGGCTGTGAGCTTACCTTTAAGTTTATTTGTATCCATAGGCCTTGCTCGACTGCTAGTCACCCTAGAAGCTGGCAGCAAACCCTGAAAAATTTCATGTGTAAAAGACAAACCACAAGGAAGGGCAATAGAAACATGAAGTAGTTTAAATGTGATTTGTAAATTTATAAATGTTTTCTGTTTATGCCCAAAATCCCTTGACCTCGCTTATTTTGTTGACCAAGTTTAAAACTAAGGACTACTTCCAACCTTGGCAACCAAAAAAACATGTGTGATATAATTATGTCCCAAGTAGACAGCCCCAAGGGATTTAAACATCAGAATTCTTGCTTGGAACCAAGGGTCTTATCCACTCAATCCAACCCCTTGGAATTATCTAAAAATGAATTATAAGTCAAAATAACTTTTCTTGGGAGAACTAAAAGAAAATGAAGGAAAGCATTTTGGAAAGCTTCAACAAAAATGCAAGCTCATGCATACAAGCCTTAAAAGTGATTGCTAGGAAAAAACTGATAGAAAACACGTCATAAAGAAACTAACAGGTGATTGAGCCGGTATCTTTGTCTTTTGTGTCTGCTGGTACTTGAGAATGGTCCAGTCAAAGATGTAATCGAACTCAAATCCTGTCGGATATGAGAACAACAATGTAAATATATCCCCACTAGATAGAACTATCAAATTCAGAGTGTGCCCAAAGTATGAGACTTGATAAGCCATGGAATGAAGAGAAAATATGAACATGATAAATTTACATAGTCAATTACCTTCTCGAGTAAACAAGTCTTGGAATAGGCGTTTCAAGAATCCATAATCAGGCCGCTGGTCAAATGTTAAAGAGTGACAATAATGGAAGTAGGAAGCAAATTCCACAGGATGAGACTTGCACAGGACCTTTAGAATATAGATTTGACGTCAACTTAATTTGTCATAGTAGTTAAAAAAAATAATTGCTTCATCAACAATAACAGCAGTCCAGAAATTAAAAGTTAAAAGACATTATTAATAAACCACCAGATTTTTTCCCAAAATATGAAAGAAAAAATAACACAAATCCATTCCAAAGTAAGAAAAAGCACAAAAAAAATCATACCGTTTACAGATTTTACTAGAACAATGATGTAAAAATTGAACAGTTTTGTAGAAAGAGAACATTTTTTAGAAAAGAAAAATCCAGAGAGCCAATAAATATAAAAGACGTATATTTTCTCCAATTCAAGCCAGGAATTAAAACAAAGTGAAAATAGAAAACAACAGCATACCTCAATAGGGGTTGATACCTTCTTCTCACATATTTTGTCATACTTTTGCTTTTTTGTAGCAGCTTTCAGACCCTGCCAAGGGAGGCTAAAAGCAGAATCATTCGATTAGAGTCATATGGTCGGAATCATATCTTCTAGTTATAACATCCCAACCCCTCAAAGTTATTTAAATGACAGTTAAAAACCACATAAAATTGTGGTTCACAACAGCAGCTAAAATTGACACGGACCAAAACTAAGAGACAAGGTTCCCAAAAGTGGAGCAGAAATAAACATACCTTCCTCGTAAAAAATACAAGAGAACATAGCCCAAACTCTCCAAATCATCTCGTCTGCTTTGCTCTAGAGAAGATGAAAAGAAAAATATATGACAAAAGCTGCAGACCTTTATCAAGTCCATGAAATAGAATAATGAAAATATCTCTACATACCAATTCCTAGATGAGTATTGCAGCTTGCATAACGAGCAGTCCCCGTTAAGTTTTTGTTCTCTCTGAATGAGTTACAGAATAAGGAGGGAGAAAATAACATTAAGCAACTGGTGGCAGGAATATTTAACTTAAGCAAGACAAACAGCACAATATATCAAAATAAAAATTCAGAAAAAAGAACACAGAATCATAATTCTAAGCAAATTTGTCACATTGAGCTCAAAGATTGTCTAAGCTCCAATGTATAGATAAACATGAAAGCTTTTGATACCCAAGCTGCCTAGGCCAAATGAACATCTTAGGAAATATGTTGAAATAAAAGGCCAAGACCATAAGAACCTTACTTCCAGATAGGATCATACGATATAGCATACACCAGATGTGTAGCCTTTATAGTTCCCTATCTGTTCCATTAAATGACTTCCTTTGAGAATATCAGTCACCTAGTCCGAAAGAATTAATTTCAGTAATCCATAAAACTCTTCAGAAACTTTTTAAGAGAAAAAATTTCACAAAATCATTTTAAAATAGTTTCTCTTCTATGTTGAAATAATTGCATTCATTTTTATTATAGTATGATCCTAGGTCTCTAAACAAAAAGTCAGAAGTTCATATCCACATATTTCCCACCTAATAAAAGTTAGGGCACAATAGTAGTTGTAAATAATGCAGTGTACATGCAAGTGACGTTGGAAGAATTTCTGGGTACCAAATTAAATAAATAAATAATAACAAGTTAAAGAAACTGAACAACCTGTGACAATTTTCTTGATTCTTTTTTTTTTTTATGCTGTTAACCATCAACCCCACCCCCCTTAAATTTCACCACCTTAAGCAATATCTCATCAGACGAACGGTAAATTTAGTCCACAAGAATTTACTGGCAATAGAATGTTTGGGTAAACACAACCAAAAAAGTTTTTAAAATAAGGCATATATCATTAACTTCACTCATATGGGATAGATATTATGTGTACAGTACCACCCAAAATCAACAACAGCATGTGGACAACAGAAAAAGCAAAAACCGTATATATGGCAGGACTTCACAATTGATTATTCACCTGTAAGGAATATGGCGGTTTGTGGTGGAGTCCCGATATCTTTTTGCAAGTCCAAAATCAATAATATAGACCTGGTGATAGCATATAAAGAGAAATAAAATATGAGATAACAGAGTAATTCGTGTAAGTCAGATAATGAAGTAGTATGCCAAAGCACAATAATTACCTGATTTGCTTTCCTACCAAGACCCATGAGGAAGTTATCTGGTTTGATGTCTCTATGCAAAAACCCTTTGGAATGCACAAATTCTATTCTCGTAATCTGCAGCAGGGTGAACCCAACAATCAAGTGCATTAGAATATCTGTCTTTTTTTTATTCTTCTCTTCATCCAGGTTCATGTAAAAAACTCTGATCTTACTTCTTCTAATACTAAATCCCAAAATAATGATTATAGATAGGCTGACTACAACAACAATCACCCCCAAAAATCAAGAAACATATTTGCTAATTACCATCTGATCAGCCAGCATCAAGACAGATTTCAGTGAAAACTTCCTCCCACAGTAGACAAATAGATCTTCAAGACTCGGTCCTAGCAAGTCAAGAACTAGAACGTTATCATCGCCATCTACTCCATACCATTTGATGCTCGGAACACCGCCTGAAGCAGAAAAGACATGTCAAACCAGCATCAACAATAGCACATAAAAAAAAAAAAAAAAAAAAGAAAAAAAAACCATTGACTCATACTTCCTCCTTGAAGATTCTTATATATCTTGGCTTCATATAGCAACTGTGGATGTTTGGTTTTGTTGTTTTCCTGCAAAACCAAAAGAGAACACAAAATGTAGCCCGTGCCCATAAATTCTCCAGAGGTATATAAATACGACTGCAGCCAATTAAAAAATTATGACGACTTGGTGTAAAACTTGGAAAGAGAAACTTAAACCTAAAAGCTTAACAAGCCAAAGGAAATAAAGCAGCATAGCGAAATTCATGACAAATTTTACCAAATGGTGATAAATATCTAGAGGCTTGATACTTAAATAAGGACGTAAATTCTCTAAAATTGAAGTTTGCAAAATCAGTGACCACAAAACTTTAGGTCAACTAAAAACAGTTCATATCCATGAATTATTAAAAAAGATTCATCAAGAACTTCAATCTTATTCTTCATATTGAAAGCTGTCCATATACACAGAACAATCAGCTCAAACTTTATACATTTCAAACAATTACAGTCCAAGAGACTCACAATTTTAACTGCCACGATTTCATTGGTGTCGACATGGGTCGCTGAAACAATTAAGGAAAGAATTAACCAGTTTCCTTTAACAATGATCAAGAAAATTGAAAATTATATAAGATATTGGCATACCAAGAAATATTTCACCAAAAGATCCGCTTCCAATTTTGCGACCTAACTTGTACTTGTCTCCGATAATTCTCTCCATCTCTCTCTTTTAGCTAATAGCTTTAGGATTGAGTTGAATTTCAACGTGAGAGAGAGAGATTTAGGGTTTTAGGTGGAAGATTGTTAGGGAGAGGGAGAGGGAGAGGGAGAGGGAGGGCGATCGAGGAGAGCGAGAGGTGCGAGCGGGGGTAGTTAATGAGATTTTAGAAAAGTGAGGGGTTTTATCGAATTCTATACTTTGAAATTATAGTTGGGAAGGTGGTTGGTTTAGGATTTGATTTGTATTGTTCGATTTATAGTTCATGAGAATTGCGTGACGGCGTCTTGAAATCCTTTGGATATTATTTCAAGTAACCCAAGGAAATGACGTTTCTAATTTTCTGGTTGTCAAAAAGAATATCATCATCTTCGAAAAGAAACAATGCTGGTACAAATTTGATTTCTTGTTACCCATTATTAACTGGGAATAGATAAAATACTGAATGAAAAACACAATGCTCCAACGCCAAAAGTATCTCAACATCAATTGATAACGTATATCTAGGATTTTGACAATTCAACATGACATTCATATTTTCACCTTTCATTACCACATCGCAAATCCAAGTAACTCAGTTGATAACAGCTGAGGCTATGTAAGAAAGCATGCATCGAATCTGTAATGAACCCACCAAAATTAGAGAATCCACAATCACTAGAAATTACACCGCTATGAGGTTTCTTTATATAAGTGGACTACTAACAAGCTATTAAACAAAATAATAAGATGAAGCACCAGAAATTCTGATACATCAATCCAGCCCAGTTGCGGATACAACTAAAACAAATTACTGCAGCCAAATGCAAATATAAATCTCTAATATAAGCTCTAATACGAAACCATCTTTCCTCTCTAGCTGCAATGACGTTGCACCTCAGACGAACATCAATAACTCAGGCCTACTATATATGTTATTGTGCTCATCCTCCAGTGTAGGATACGCTGCCACAAGAGCATCTTGAGAGCCAATATATAGTGAGTTGTAAATCTTCCAGTAAACTTCCCTAACCTTCCGAGCAGGATGGAAAAGCCCCTGCAGACAGTAGTTCAGCACAACAGCTGCACCCAAGGCAACCCTCATTCCTTCAATGGCTTCCATGACTGCATTTATGACATGAGGGGAAGTCTCAAAAATATTTGGCCAGACATAGTTCATTAAGTGGACCAGAGCATCCTCACAACCCAATCCAGCAACCCCCAAAGCCATGTGCTTGACAGCAGATGCTGCAGTCTGCCTGTGAACCAAATCTCTGTCCATCAGGGCATCCTCAAGTAATGGAGTCACAGCATAGATATAGTCCTTGCCCATTTCGCCAATGTACTCAAACAGGAAGGAAAGGGATTTCAAAACACCATTCTGCACATTGAGCTCTGGTACACGGTACTCATTCATTAGGGCCGGAAGAACTGTAAAAGGAGAACAAGTTTCTGCAACAATTGCAATAGCAACAGTAGTGCACACACGATTCTGACGTTCCTGCACCTTGAGATTGTTTAAGAGAGTAGCCAGGACATCTTGTGGCCCAATGGCTTTAGCAATATACCCAAAGGTGTTCACAGTAGCTCGACGAATTCCCTTCTTGTGGGCTTTAAGCATCTCAAGAAGTTCAAAGCAAATCCTCATCCACTCCCTAGCTGGGACAAACTCTGCTCCACGATCAGCAATTCGACCAACAAGATCAATACAGTTTTCCTGGACTTTCTCATGCCTATTCTTCAAAATGGGAGTCAATCTGGGAAGTAAATCCTTGATCGGAGGAGTCATTTTTGTCATACCAATAACATTCACAATGGCCTTAAGAGCACCCAAAATTGATCCAAGAACTTCAGGATATTCTTCTCCCAAATATTCATATAACACAACACCAAGATGACCCATCAGTTGCTCCTCTTGGCACTGCTTCATCACCACTGCAATCCTTGAAATAAGATCTGCTGCCTGCTGCCTCACCTTGGCACTTTTGTTATTCAAACGCCACTTAATGGTACCACAAATCTGGGGAAGGTATGGCTTGACCCTCTGCCCAAGAGAATTCACGACTGCACCAAAACCATTAAGCATCACATTGGCATCATCACTGGTCTGCTCTTGGAAGGCATAAAGAATTCCGTCAATAAGAAGCTCTTCCAACCTAGCATCAATATCAGATGCACCCAAATTAGCAACCACCTTTTCAATTGTTTCCATAACCATTCGCCTATAAGGTTCACTTTCATCTTTAAGATCCTCAACAATTCTCCCTACTATGTCAGCAACTCCGACTTTGTTTGCAATCTCCACAGTTGTCTCCACAAGCTGCTTATAGTTTCTCCGATCTAAAGCCATCCTTCTAACCCAGAAATTCCTAAAGAACTCAGGAAGAATATCACTTCGAATATAATCAGCTTCCACACCCTCTGTACTCACACACTGCTTTACCACTTTCAACACAATTTTCTTCATTTCTTCATCAGGAGACTGGAACTCACGTATCAGAATAAACATAACTTCCTTGGTATAGTAACTAGCATAAATTGCATCCATCAGAGGAATGATAAAACCAATAGCCTTCAAAAATGCTGCCAAGACCTTACCACGGTGTGACCTAATACCCTTCCACAATGGCTTCAAGACAGAGTCAAAGCTTTCGATACCATATGGAGCAGCAGCCTCAGCAAGGGCGGCAAGAGACAAAGCGGTAATCGTCCTCACCTTCTGATTCTCATCATTCAAACCATGTTCAATAATTTCCACAAGCGACCTAAGATGTGGAAGAACAGCACAGCCAATCAAGATAGCAATCTGCTGTACAATCTTGATCCCAGTGTGACGTGCTTGCCAGGATTTCTTACTTTGACACACGGCTTTCAAGAATGGCAACAGTGCAGGAATTCCAAGAGCAGATGCAACAACACTAAAAGCTCTAGCAGTTGTGTTCCTAACGTACTCATCAATATTATCAATATCTGGACGCATAGCAGCAATCATAGTAGCCAAACCAGCTGCCTTACTCAAATTAGATATAATTTCTCTTCCCTCAACACGGGCATAATAGTCCTCATCAATTAACAAAGGCTCAATAACAACAAGAATCTTATGCACATAAGGCCTAACCAACTCATCTAGCTTGTACAGCACCCTATCAATAACCTTAACCAAAAGATGCCTCTCCTGATCTTCTAAAGTGGGTTGCATAAGCAGAGGTAAAATACGATTAAATAAAGGACCTGCACCAAATTCTCTTGCTTTGTCAGTGAGCTGTCTCAATGCAGTCTTCCTCTGGGGAGGAGTGCCATTCTTCACCTTCAATAACAGCTTCATAATTTTTCTCTCTTTCTGCTCATCGGGAGTCAACTCCTCCTCCTCATCCTCATTCAATAAAGCCCCAAAGTACTGATAATCCTCAGGCTTCATAAATGGCAATCCACCAGGCGCTTCCTTGGGCACATCAAACTGCTGTCCACGATTCTCTTCAGGAATTTGATACATTGGAGTCCCAAGAGGTGTAGGTGTTGCAAGTAGCTTCCTTGCCGGAGTCCTTATTGGCACATAAGATGCCGGTGGTTCCAAAATCTTATACCCTTCTTGTGGAAACATAGCATCAAGCTCTTCATCAGTTAATGGACGGTTTCTTTCTTCTATATCCTTCTCCCACCTCAATAAATTATACTGCTCAGGAGTAATAGAACCCCGCAAATTAATAGCACTCGGAGTAGGAGTTGCCACGTCCATTGCTCCCACAGGAGTAACACCAGGTGTATAAGCAGCGGCAGGTGTGGCTCCAGCCATTGGAGTGGCACTGCCCATGGTGGCAGGCGTCTCATCCCACCTCGACCGCTGTCGTTTTGGCGTTGGAGTGGCTAACCCTTTAGGAGTGGCATCCCAAGTCATTCCAGCTGGCGTGGCACCAGGAGTAACCCCACCGGATGGTGTGGCATCAGCATCTGCTACTCGTCCAGGTGTCGGGGTCTCATCCCATCGATTCCGTCTCCCCGCCGAAGGAGTTGAATCAGAAACTCTCCCAGGTGTGGGAGTGGCATCCCACCTACCAATGCCGGGCGTGCCATCAGGTAAATCCCAATCCGATGTGGCTTTAGCCTTCTTAGCAGGCGCAGCACCAGCATCAGCATCCTGAGACTGATCCCACCTATTCCTCCTCTTAGGTCCCTCAGCTTTAGCAGCTTCTTCCTCTTCCTTCTTCTTCTTAGCGATTAATTTCAATGTCTCTTCCTTCTCTCTCTGCAACGCTTGCTCCCTCATGACATCAGCATAAGTCCTAACACTTGGATCAGGCGTCTTCTCTCCCGCAGCAAATGCATCGTGCCTCTCAGGCGAAATCACACGTTGCAGCCTCCGTCTTCTGTACTCATCTTCACGGTCAATAATTTTCCCCGGTTTCTTAAACCCTAGATTACTATCATCATCATCACCACCACGGGGAATCTCATTGAAAAGAGACTTGGGAGCCGTGTAAGATGCGAGTTTTCGGGCAACCTCGGAGTCCATGGCGTCGAGATTGTTGGCTTCGTCATCGTCGTTAACTGGAATCGAACTGACGTAAGCTTCACGATCAGTGCCGCCATAGAGGTCGCGATCGTAAGTCAAAGAGGTAAGTGAAGCAAGCTCTTGCTCCATTCGTTTACGCTCTTCTTGCGTCTTTGCGATTTCTGTATCCATGATTATTGATGTGGTTTCTCAAAGCCCTACAAGATTTAATGAATTTGAAATTAAATGGGAATGAAATATAGAGACGAAAGAGAAATAACAACAATTGATTGGTTAAAAAAGAAAAAAAAGAAAAAAAAAGAAAACAGAAACAATTACCTGAGTCGAACAGAATGAGGGAGATTGATGTTTTAGGGTTTTGTGGAGTAGATTGAGGATATTTGGGGACAGGGGTGACCATATAAATGTTGGGCTTTTTATAAATGAAAACCGACTTAAAGAAGGTCGGTTTGTTTTTCAGACTGGGTTATGGCCTGCCTATCATTGGGCTACCTGAGTTCTGTCCCAATTCTACAAATTGGGTGGCCTATACATATATTTGCAAATTGCAACAAAAGTGACTCGGGCCTATTACTCTTGACTACCTGTTTAGCATGAGCGATTACACTACCAGTTTGTATATATCTCAATTAATCTCTCAAGATCCTAGAATTATTGATCGGATAAGAGCTCCAGACTCCTATTAGTAACCATAGGGACTTGAACTCGAGAGGCTATATTAGATCATTCTTTTGCTTTTTCACTTCAAACTCAAACTTGGGAAACCATGTTACATCCTCCTCTTAAAAGATCATGTTAAATCATTCTCTTACTCTTTTATTATATAAAGAACTTGATCTTGAAAAACTATATTAAATCCTCTTTTGATAACCCTTGCTGATATTGGTTGAAGCCCAGCTATCCTTTCCTCCTATTTTAATGACTTCATCAAAGTTGTTCATTGTGAATGAAGAAGATTATTTTTAAGTTGTCTATTCATGAGTTCTACAAACTTCGCAGTCTACACTATGCTCAAGTTTCTCAATTATATATATATATATTCTCTCTCTTTTTGTGTCATTGAAAACGAGTTAATCTCTCCCTTAAAATCTGCATCAAATCTCCTAAATCACGTTTAACCAGACTCCTTATCACAGACAAATTAGCATGCGCAAATACTTTTACTTGTGAATGATAATGTATTTAATGAGAATGAGAGAATGTGAAACTTGTATTATAAAATATTATTTGAATTATTTATCTTTCAGGTCACATAAATTAACTTTCACTTCCACCACTTCAATAGTTAATCTAAACAAAGACAAGACAGTTTTAATGTTACTCAACACATGTATAGATCCTCTCAACTAGTTAATCTTTTAATTTCCCAGTTTATTAAAAAGAAGAAGAGTGCACCATTAATGTTACTGTACCATCTTCTTCTCACTTTTACAGTTATTAGAGGGCTACTGGTCTTGCGGTTGCAGAAGTGGCGGCCAACATTCTTGGCTCGTTATCTCTTGTATTCACAAAGAACAGAAAGACAGGAAAGGTTTATGCCAAATCTAATTAAACTCCTTCCACATATCATATAAATATCTAGTTATATAATATCCAAACAATATTATTTGATAGAATTGAGAGGGCAAGAGATACAATTGGAAAGAGTAATAGTATGTGTTAAAGATATCTTTGAGAGGGTAAGAGAGACAACTGAAATGATCGGAGTATGCCTAAGAGATATCTAAGAGAAATTCAATTGACTTTGTAAGGATATAAAATATTACAAATAATGATACAATCTCAATAATAAAATAAAGAAAATTATATCTTAGTATAATTAGGAACGAGAATATGTGATTCTCATTCTATGTCCAGATGATATGTGAATTAATGTCATATATTTTCTTCTCATATTCGCGTGTTAACATTCCTCCTTAAGTCAGGGCCGTCTCAAGAACAATTGTGACCATAGGCAAAAGGTATTATAAAATTATTTCAAATTTATTTTTCTTGCCTTTTGAGATGCAAAATCACTAATTAAATTTTGATATTCAAGTTTAGAAACCAAATCTTTTTCAATTGATAATATAGCCAAATTACTTAATATTTTTTGTGACATAGTTGAACGCAAATAAGATTTTATTAACTTTAATTTTGAAAAACTTCTTTCTGAATAAATCCAAACCATCAATATTAGAGAGCATGTCATGTTTTAAAAAATTTTCAAGATTTAAACAATGTTTCTGCAAACTATCATCATCAAGCAATTTTAACTTTTTTATATTATAAATGAAACAAAAATTATTACTATATATTTCAAATTGTTCAAACCTACTTTGAAGTGAGGAAATGGCATGATCAACTAAATATGTGAAATAATATATTCTAAAAGATTCTTCGGTAGACAATTTCATCTCTTCGTTTTCATTCTCATCAAATTGTTTTTTTTCTCTTTATTTTACGTTTTTCATGAAATTTTGGTTCTATATTCATTTGCTCTGCAATCTCTTTAGCAGAAATCATAGAAGATATAAACCCATTATCTCTATATTTTTCAAAAAATGAAACAAGACATTTCAACTGATTTGTTGCAACAACAATGTCCATATTTTTAGATTGTACATATTTACTAACTGTATTAACAGCAAATAACATTTCATACCAAACATTCATGCTTAATAGAAATTCAAAATTTTCAATCTCATATGTTACGAAAGAAATAGCTTCACTTTTTGTTTTAGGATCTTCACTAGTTTCTACTAATTAATATAAATCATCTCTTATTTGTGGAGCTTGAAATTTTATTGCTTTAACACTTTCAACGCGACTTTCCCAACGTGTTTGTGATAATGGCTTAAGTGTCAAATTAGAAACATGATCTTGCAAAATTTTCCATCGTTTTGTAGAAGAAGAAAATAATGAGTATATACGTTGTGTTACTCCAAAAAATGTAATAGCATTAGCATATGAATTAGCCATATCACAGAGAAATAAATTAAGACTGTGACAACCACATGGTGTATAAAATGCTCTAGAATTTATATTTAATAATCTTTTTTGCACACCTTGATGTTTATATTTCATATTAGACCCATTATCATATCCTTGTCCTCTCATATTATTTACATCAAGTTCAAGATTTTTTAATATACTTGTGAGAACATTAAAAATGCCTTGACCAGAAGTATCATCCACTTTTATAAAATCTATAAAGTATTCTTCTATTTTTATTGGACTTATTAAAATATCTACACATTTTAATATAAGTGACATTTGTTCTTGATGACTTGTATTTGAGGTACAATCAAGCATAACTGAAAAATATTTTGATTCTTTGATTTTTTTTAATAATGGTATTTCTTATTTCTAATGCTAAAATATTTATCAACACATTTTGTATATTATGACCAAGATAATGAGTATGAATTTCTCCATTTTGAATATGTCTAAAGTGTTCTTGCATTATTGGATCAAACTCAGCAATCATTTCAATTAAACTCAAAAAAATTTCATTATTTTCTTGATAAATCTTCTCATTTGTACCACGAAATGCCAAATTATTTTTTGAAATTTTTTTTACAACCGCTATAATTCTTAATAGTACATTCTTCCAGTGCGCTCTCTCTTTATTTATTTTCTCTTATAAATATTTATCATTTGTTTTGTTTTTAAGCAATCTCATCTCAACATCAACACAAATGTTCATATTTATAGCATGTTCATTGTTTGTTTCGTGACTTTTAAGCTTGGCACTAAGATTTTTCCAGTCTCCACACCCTTCATTTGCTAATTGAATTGTATTTGCTTTTAAACTAAATAATTTACAACAAAAACAAAATACTTTATTTAATTCTTTTGAATATACTAGTCATTTTCTATCATGTTTTTCTCTATTTGGTAATTTTCGAATATAATGAATTGTAGAAAAGCGTCTAGAATTTTCATCTCTTGGAAAATCTAAAACTTGTCTAATTGGACCTTTCTCAACTAATAAATCACATAAGTTTGTGTCTAAATTATTCCAGTGTACCGGATCATAAATATTTTTAATAGTTATTTCATCTTTATCATCAATATTTTCATTTTTGTCGAATGAAATTTCTTCTTCTAAATTTTCATGATACTCTTCACTAGTATTTGATGAATTTGAATTGTTATCTTTAAAAATTTCTTCACAATTTTTAATTAATTTTTCATTTAAATCTTCATTTGGTTTTTCTAGTATTTGGTGTTTTGTATTAATAACAAATTTATCAAGTGCACCTTTTTGGGATTGAATTAGTTCTTTTATTCTTTTTTTTTTTCCTTACATTTTTCAAATCCAGATTCATACTTCCTAGTAGACATCTATATTCAAAGAATAAATAATTTAGAGCTCTTAATGTTGTTTTGCTAAAATAAAAATAATTATAAAAACTAAGAAGGAACTTTAGCACCTGATTTATGCTCCTGATTTTGCTTTTTACTGTGCTGATACTCTAAAATCTTATATTATTACCCTACATAAAAATAATAATATAAATCACTTATTCACTTGATCAAATATAAAGTAAATTCAGTTGAGAATGCTAAGAGTAAAATGATTTAAAGCTCTTAATATTACCTTGCATAAAAATAATAATGTAAATCACATTCATTTGATAAATTTACGTAATAGAGATGAGAAATGAGAGACAAGGGAGTAAAATGAGATGGGAATAATAAGAGTAAAAGATAAGAAAACTTTAAGTGAAATGAGGTTTATATAAGAGATTGTCTTTCGGATTTGGGAGAGAGAGGAGATGTGATTTGACATTTGAGAGTTGGAGAGTTGCGTGAAGGTGTTTCAATTTTCAACGGAAAAATGAGCCGCCAATTGTGTCTCAAGTTTAGAGATAGGCATGGCTGATTGGACACATGGTGGGATTGATGAAAATTGAGAAATTATAAATATATTAAAAAACTCTTAAAAAAAATATTTTGGGTAGAGATAGGCATATGCGATAGTACATGGTGGGATTAATGAGAATTAAAAAATTATAAATATATTAAAAAATACTTTAAAAAATAATTTTAGGCCCCTTTTTTTACCCCTTTTTTTGGGGGCCCTAGGTAGGGGCCTCACCTACCTAGGGGTTAGGCTGGGCCTACCTCAAGCTTGTGATATGTATAAGTCATAAACCCCAAACTTGTGTAGTGGATGCGAATATTGTTTGCCATTAGATTAGAGCGGATTGATTAGCAAAAGCTTGATTACGGAAGACATTATCTAACCCAAGTGCCTATGTATCTTACAACTTGAAGCAAAACTTGAGCCTAGAGTGGGTTGATTAACGAAACAACTCAATAACTCAAGATAGTAATAAGAGTTGAAAATGATTCAATATACACTAGGAAAATTTCTAGGAAACACTGGAGGGGTCACAAATGGTCCCATTTAAAACCCAACATTTTTAGATATTTATCGTATTGTTGACATAATTTTCCTAGACATGCATATATGCATATAAATAGCTAGACATGCATATATCCATATGAATAGCTACTCATTGTCTTAAAACTGGATGCTCTGATACCATCTCAGAATTAAGAGGGTAAAAAAGGCAATTGAAGAGAACTGTATTATGCTCGAGATATATCTTTGGGAGAGCAAGAGAGACAACTGAAATGATCGGAGTATACCCGAGAGATATTTGAGATCAATTCAATTTAATTGTATTGAGTTGTGAATACACAACCTATTTATACAAAAGTGTGATAACTATGTAAGGATATAAAATATTACAAATAATGATACAATCTCAATAATAAAATAGAGAAAATCATATCTTAACATAATTAGGAATGAGAATATGTGATTCTCATTCCATGTCCAGATGATATGTAAATAAATGTCACATATTTTCTTCCCATATTCGCATTTCAATATTATTGTTCATAATATATATCATGAGTGGCACTAACAATAGGTTGATGCTAAACATTTTGACACCCAGGCATGGAATAAAAACTGCAAGAGAAGTCAACATAATATTCTTCTTGTCAGTTGCCACCCATTTCATGGAAATGGCGGTTCTTGGGGCTTTTGTTGTGCCCGGATTCTTAAATAGGTCGAAAATGAACGTCGGGTTTGGATCTCTCAATAATGTTGTTAAGAAATAAGGGAGATGTGTTTGAATAACTTTGTGTGTATATTATTCTGTATTCTGCTTTACAAAATATATAGGTGTATAATGAAACTAAGTATGTAAATTTACAAATAAGGAAAATATTATATTGTAACATATGCCTAAAAAGAAGAAATCCCTGATTTTATGCAATCCATAATTTTGGAAAGATACGATTCTGTCAATACTCCCCCTCAAGTTGGCGCATGGAGATCCGTAATGCCCAACTTGCATGAGAAATGATGGAAAAGTTCTTGGCCTAAAGCTTTGGTGAAGATATATGCAATTTGCTCATATGAAGAAATGTGAACTGCTTTGAGGAGACCGAAGCGAATTTTATCGCGAATGATGTGGCAATTGATCTCAATGTGTTTAGTACATTCATGGAACACTGGATTGTGGGCAATGTAAAGTACAGACTGATTGTCACAGTAGAGGTTGAAAGGCTTAGGATGAGGGAGGCCAAGATCAGTGAGAAGTTGCTTTAGCCAAGTGAGCTCACAAGTGGTGACAGCCATGGCATGATATTCAACTTCAAAGGAAGAACGAGCAACGGTAGCTTGTTTTTTTGTACGCCACGAGATCGGACTGGTACCGAGCTGGATGAAGTAACATGTGGTGGAACAGTGTGTGGTGGGACAACTAGCCCAATCAGAATTAGTCTAAGCTGTAATTTGTGTGGTGTTAGAGAAAGAGAAAAAAATGTCTTGGTCGGGACTCCCTTTGATGTAATAGAGAACACATGTAGCAGCAGTCATATGAGGAACACGAGGGGCATGCATGAACTAACTAAGAATGTTGATGGCATAAACAATGTAAGGTCGAGTGATGGTCAAATAAATGAGACAACCAACTAGACGACGATAAATGCTAGGATCAGGAAGTAAAGATTCATCTTCATTGGAAAGCTTCAAATGTTGTTCCATTGGAAAGGAGGCAGTCCGGGCACCAAGTTGACCACTATCAGAAAGTATATCCAGAGCATATTTTTGCTGATTCAAGAAAATGCCTGTAAAAGTACGTGCAACTTCGAGGCCAAGAAAGAACTTTAGAGAGCCAAGGTCTTTGTTTTTGAAGTGAGTGGAGATAAGGTTCTTGAAAAACTGAATTTGGGGTAGAGCATTGCCTGCCACTAAGATTTCATCAACATATACAACAACAATAATGATGCTGGTATGAGTGACAAGAGTGAATAATGAGTGATCAGCCTGAGATTGGCGAAAACCTGCATCAAGAAGCACAGTAGTTAGTTTGAAAAACCAGTTGCGGGAGGCTTGCTTGAGACCATATAGGGACTTTCTGAGTCGACAAACATAGGTCTCCCTCTAAGTGCAATAGCCAGGTGGTAGGATCCTGTAGACTTCTTCATCAAGATCGTCGTGCAAGAAGGCATTGTTGACGTTGAGCTGATAAATGATCCAATTTTTTGTTGCAGCCATTGCCAATAAGCAGCGGACAGTGGTCATTTTGGCAACCGGAGCAAAAGTCTCATAATAGTCAAGACCTTCAACTTGAGTGTAGCCCTTGGCAACCAATCAGGCTTTGTACCTCTCAATGGATCTGTCAGCTTTGAGTTTGGTTTTGAAAACATTTACATCCAATGGGTTTCTTACAAGGTGGAAGTTGCTCGAGAATCCAAGTGGAGTTATCTTCTAGAGCTCGGAGCTCAGCGGACATTGCCTTGCGCCAATGAGGGTGTCGGATAGCATCAGAATAGCATGAAGGTTCAATGCAAGAGGTGAAAGCATTTAAATAAGTAATATGTGAGGGAGAAAATCGAGAATATGAAAGAAAGGTCGATAAGGGATGAGTAGTACCTGAAGCCGTTGTAGCAGGTAAAGACGTCGTGGGCTCTGTATGTAAGGTGGGGCATATGTAGTCCTGGAGATAGGCAGGCCGTGTAGTGTGGTGACGAGGACAGGAGATGAGTGGAGGTGAAGGTGGGGAAGGTGGTGAAGGTGGGGTTTCGAGAGGGTTATAATGCAACCAGAACAGCTCAAAACGTCAACCTTCCACATTGCTTCATCCCAAACAAAACATTCTTCATTCATTCTTCCACTCCAGAACCCAAAGATTCAGAACTTCAAAATCAAAACCATCTCAGAAACGAAACCCACAGATTTTGGACGACAAATGAAAAGCACCAAAAAAAAAAAAAAAAAAGAGTCAAGAGTCTTACTTATCTAAGCAGGCGACGACAACAGAAATGCATATTGCAAAATGCAAATGAGAGAGAGATATGTTAGGGAGGGCACAGTGATTAGAGTTTTGGGATGGGATGAGAAAGAGGTTAGGATTAGGGTTTGAGAAAAATGGATAATATACTTAGGATAATACTGTAATTAAAAATATAGTATAAGGTAAATTAGTAAAATTGACACTAAATTTTTGAGCTGGGCCGGGACTGAAGATATACCCATACCCGGCCCTACCCTTTTGAACCTTAAAATCAGCTCAAGCCAAGTTCGTCACCCACGGTTAAGTCCAGCCTTTTCGGGCCGGTTACCCAAAATCTTGGGCCCATTGCATCTTGTCGGACCTACTCCGGTTTTTGTTTAACAATTTCATTGTCTTCTCTTTTTCTACATCATACATCTTGAATATGTCTTTTTTAATAGTGTTTCTACTCACAACCTTAAACAACGGTTGCATGTTGTTACAAAATTTTCTAAACCCGTAATGATCAACCATGCTCAAAGGATATTCGTGTAGAACAATCATCATTGTTAGGTCCTTCCTCACCGACTCTTGATCAAGCTGATGCGAAGTTAAGGTCATTTGTGACTTTGAACTTGAATCCTCTCCCGGGGTCATCGACAGAATCTTCTGTGATACATCTCCATACTTTCACCTTGGACAAATTTTAATATGTTCATGCAAGTGCCTTGTCCCATTTTTGGAACCACCAGCAAGTTGTTTACGACAATAGTTACACTCTGTTTTATCCTTACCGTCAACTTTAACTTTCTTGAAATGTTGCCATACAACTGATTTTGTCCTTACAGTATTGCTGCAACTGTCAACATCATTAAGGGGGCCATTTTCTTCATGTGTTTCTTCCTCAGTATCAGCAATTGGGGATTGAATTTGACTACTTCCAATCAGATCCGGAGTCGGCAATTTTTTCGATGAGTCAGAAGGTAGATTATTTCCTTCTCTAAGCTTTTTCGTTTACCAAGTAAAGAAGTTTGAATTGACATGTTGAAACCTAAAAAAATGAACAAAAAGTATGAATATCAAATAACATTACAAAATAAAATTAAAAGAGATGATATGTCATATTAATTTGTTAAAAAATAATAGTTATCAGTAAAGTGGTTAGCTTTAGACTTTAACGAATTGCATGGCCTACAATGTCCCAATTGTCAATTATTTAAAGTATGGACAAAATTTTAATAATCAAATAACATTGGAATTTATATAAGTCGGATAATGACTTCCCTATTTTTTTCAACTGCACTCCTCATACTTTTAATATCCATATACTTATTGGAAATTTGATTATTATAATTTTGTCCATATAATCCTTACTTATATGTACAAAAAAACTTCTGATACGTTTCTGCTATATTTGAAATTTCACAAAAATTTCATTTACCAATATACCAAGTCTGTTAATTAGATGTTTGTTCATATTATTGACCACCAACTAAAGTGTCTATCATCATAAGCTGAATCAAAGAATTACATAACCTTGTCACCAGAAAGAATGCATTATATTTTAACAACAATATTTTAAATCTAATTCAAGGGTTCAAGGAAATTTAATAAAAGAAGAAGAAGAGAATCTCACTTTTATAGGACCACTAGTCTTGTCGAGTTCGTATTTCACTTTACTCCCCTTGCCAATCTCTACGACCTACAACAGAGATTTACATTATGATATGGAAGCACGAATTATTTTTGGAGAAAAATCTGCCTATCATTGACAAGAACAACTTTATGTGAAACAACTCCAAAGCTAAGAATCAACATTCAGCAAGCTACTTCAAGTGAAAATTTGGGATATGTGGCTTTATGTTGTGGACTGGTGGGAACAGGATTAGCCTGATGTTTTTATTAAGAGTATGTAAGTTTGTTTTTTGGGACTTGTAATTGCTTGCAAGAACTTTGTTGAGTATTTTAACTCCTCTCTCTCTCTCTCTCTTTCCTTGTATGCTTCGTTTGTTTGTTTTGATGTATGTGATAAGTCTAGTGAAAAGTAAAAACCAAGTGATGATCTAGGAAAGGTTAGGAACCAAGGAAAAGGTTTGGGACCACTGAAGCTCACATAAAATATTCTAGTAAAAATGTTCTCTAGAAACGAACAACAAATTAACAGAACAGAACAACCGGAGGGATAACGAATTAACTATAACAAGATTGAAACTCTTATAACCATAAACCTTTTCTCCACATATTCATTACAAAATGCAACCACAATGGGATACTACCTTGAAAAAAGTACTTTCTCTTCCACCAATTTATATGTAAATAAAAGCAGTCAAATTTCAATATTTTCCCCTAGATTGAAACTCTACAGAAGCCACATCTGATGGAAACTGCAATTTCCAAAATAGAACTGCATTAACAGTCTCGAGCATCCATTGCAATACACCCAACTCTGCACAGACTGCAACTTTGCTGGAAACTGCAAAAGAAAAGCTACAGACTCCTGAAATTAAATTAACCCAAAACCCCATTAAAACAAGTCTTAAGGGAGTCCATCTCCATACAGTCAAAAAAAATGAAAACCCCCCCACGTAGCAACCAGAACAGCTCAAAACGTCAACCTTTCAACATTGCTTCATCCCAAACAAAACATTCATTCATTCATTTCTTCCACTCCAGAACCCAGATTCAGAACTTCAAAAATCAAAAACCATCTCAGAAACGAAACCCACAATTTTGGACGAAAATGAAACACCAAAAAAAAAAAAAAAAAAAAAGAGTCAAGAGTCTTACTTATCTAAGCAGGCGACGACAACAGAAATGCATATTGCAAAATTGCAAATGGAGAGAGAGATATGTTAGGGAGGGCAGCAGGTTGAGAGAGTTTAGGGAATGGGATGAGAAAGAGGTTAGGATTAGGGTTTGAGAAAAATGGATATATATACTTAGGATAATACTGTAATTAAAAATATAGTATAAGGGTAAATTAGTAAAATTGACACTAAAATTTTTGAGCTGGGCCGGGACTGAAGATATACCCATACCCGGCCCGTACCCGTGGTTGAACCTTAAAATCAAGCTCAAGCCCAAGTTCGTCACCCACGGGTAAAGTCCAGCCTTTTCGGGCCGGGTACCCAAAAATCTTGGGCCCATTGCCATCTCTAGAGACTCCCTTTGATGTAACAGAGAACACACGTAGCAGCAGTCATATGAGGAACACGAGGGGCATGCATGAACTAACTAAGAATGTTGATGGCATAAACAATGTCAGGTCGAGTGATGGTCAAATAAATGAGACAACCAACCAGACGACGATAAATGCTAGGATCAGGAAGTAAAGATCCATCTTCATTGGAAAGCTTCAAATGTTGTTCCATTGGAAAGGAGGCGGTCCGGGCACCAAGTTGACCATTGTTAGAAAGTATATCCAGAGCATATTTTTGCTGATTCAGGAAAATGCCTGCAGAAGAACGTGCAACTTCGAGGTCAAGAAAGAACTTTAGAGAGCCAAGGTCTTTGTTTTTGAAGTAAGTGGAGAGAAGGTTCTTGAAAAACTAAATTTGGGGTAGAGCATTACCTGCCACTAAGATGTCGTCAACATATACAACAACAATAGAGATGCTAGTGTGAGTGACAAGAATGAATAATGAGTGATCAGCCTAAGATTGGCAAAAACCTACATCAAGAAGCATAGTAGTTAGTTTGAAAAACCAGTTGCGGGAGGCTTGCTTGAGACCATATAGGGACCTTTTGAGTCGACAAACACGGGCCTCCCCCTGAGTGCAATAGCCAGGTGGTAGGGTTCTGTAGACTTATTTATCAAGATCGTCATGCAAGAAGGCATTGTTGACGTCAAGCTAATGAATTATCCAAATTTTTGTTGCAACGATTGCCAATAAGCAGCGGACAATGGTCATTTTGGCAACCACAGCAAATGTCTCATGATAGTCAAGACCTTCAAGTTGAGTGTAACCTTTGGTAATCAATTAGGCTTTGTACCTCTCGATGGATCCGTCGGCTTTGAGTTTGGTTTTGAAAACCCATTTACATCCAATGGGTTTCTTACCAGGTGGAAGTTGGTCGAGAGTCCAAGTGGAGTTATCTTCTATGGCTCAGAGCTCAGCAGACATTACCTCGCGCCAATGAGGGTGTCGGATAGCATCAGAATGACATAAAGGTTCAATACAAGAGGTAAGAGCATTTAAATAAGTAATATGTGAGGGAGAAAATCGAGAATATGAAAGAAAGGTAGATAAGGGATGAGCAGTACCTGAAGTCGTTGTAGCAGGTGCAGACGCCGTGGGCTCTGTATGTAAGGTGGGGCATATGTAGTCTTAGAGATAGGCAACCCGTGTAGTGTGGTGATGAGGACGGGAGACGAGTGGAGGTGAAGGTGGGGGAGGTGGTGAAGGTGGGGTTTCAGGAGGGTTAAGAGGTGTTTGGGAAGTAGGTAAAACGGGTTCAGGGATGGGAAGAGGAATAATTGGAGATGGAGAAGGAGATGAGGAGGTGTCTAGAATATCTTGAAAAGGGAATTGTTGTTCATAGAAGGTGACGTCATGAGAATAGAAAATGGACCATGTATCAAGATTGTAGAGTTTGTATGCTTTGTGGGTGCTGGGGTACCCGAGAAAGACACATTTAGTTGCACAGGGGGAAAATTCATCACGGTGAGCACGAAGAGTTTGTGCATAATAGAGGCACACAAACACACGGAGGTGATCATAGTTGGGTTTTTTGTTGAAAGAACCTCAAAGGGTGATTTGTTTTGGAGAGTACGATTGGGAGTGCGATTGATGAGGTATCCAACGGTGAGAACACAATCACCCCAAAAAGAAAGGGGTAAGTGTGCTTGAAAACATAGACTGCGGGCACCATCAAGAAGGTGCTGGTGTTTACGCTCTGCAACGCCATTTTGTTGAGGAGTTTCAATACAAGTAAGTTCATGAATAATGCCACGATTAAGAAAATAGGTTTGAAATTGATGAGAGAGAAATTCTTGTCCATTATCAGTTCTAATTATTTTAACAGTGGTATTAAATTGATTTTGGACAAGGGCAAAAAAATGCGTTAAATGAGTATAAGCTTCAGATTTGAAACACATAAGATATATCCAAGTGGTACGGGAAAAATCATCAACAATTGTAAGGAAATAATGAGCCTCACATAAAGAGGAAGTATGACATCCACCCCAAATATCACAAAATATACGATTAAAAGGAGAAACACTTTTATTAGCAAATATAGGAAAAGGTGTACAATGAAACAAGGGAGATGTGTATGAATAACTCTGTGTGTATATTATTCTATATTCTGCTTTACAAAATATATAGGTGTGCAATTAAACTATGTATGGAAATTTACAAACAAGGAAAATATTCTATTGTAACATATGCCTAAAAATAAGAAATCTCTGATTTTATGCAATCCATAATTTTGGGAAGATATGATTCTGTCAATCGCTGGTTAAAAGTCCATTGACAAGGGTTAAGCTTGGTGAATCTGAGGGATGAAGAAGACAAGGGGAAGGGAGGGTTGGGTTGGATGAGTCAGCCATGGCTTTGCAAGACCTTTTTCTAGTCTGATACCATGTTAAGAAACAAGGGAGACTTTTTTGAATAACTCTGTGTGTATATTATTCTGTATTCTGCTTTACAAAATATATAGGTGTACAATGAAACTAAGTATGGAAATTTACAAATATAGGTGTACAATGAAACTAAGTATGGAAATTTACAAGTAAGGAAAATATTATATTGTAACATATGCCTAAAAATAAGAAATCCCCGATTTTATGCAATCCATAATTTTGGGAAGATATGATTCTGTCAATAAATATTTTACTTACAACTGAGTCATACAACCAGACAAAAATTACACAAAATTTATGTAAAATGACTACAATGTCTTTTGTTTTTTGTATGATTGTATGACTCAGTTGTAAGCATAACATTGCCCTTGATCTATTCTAAATGTTCTTCTTTCATGTGTTTGTGAATGTAACTTAATTTAACACATTTCTTTTTTATCTTTTTAAGATTCAACTCTAAAGAAAGGAATTAAGATATCAGAAAATGTTCTTCAATTTAGGTATGAAATTTTTGGGATTAGTTATTCATTGTAGGGAAACAATATTCTTGCGTCTAAGAATAGGATAAATATGAAATGTTTTTATAGGTTGTCTTAGAAAATGAGGAATTGAGGATGATTGTTCCATCTATATGGATACTTAATAAATGTGAATCCTGTGTCAAAACTATTTTATTCCAAAATCATGTTTGGCAGAGAGTAGTAATCTAATATAGGAACAAGAACAGTCACAGAAGCACCCATGGCCGACTGGATAAGGCATATGACTTCTTATCAGGCGATTGTTGGTTCGAGTCCCACTGGGTGTGTTAATGTATCTTTACTTGCCAAAAAGTGACAGACTTGAGTTTTTTCTAGATGTGTTTCAAAGCATGATAGTTTTTCTCCTTCTCTTACTGTTTCTTATCTCTCCTGTCCTTATATTTTGCTTCTTTTTCCTTGATTTGAGGAACGGTTGATGCTACCACATTAATGTGGTTATTGATTTGTCCATAAACGAAGACTTTCAGGGTTTGTGTATATAAAAGTCAATGCCAATGGCATGGCAGTGGTGCCACCGCATGGTTCATTGCAGCGTGTCTCAACTGGAACTGTAACGCCTGGTTAACTCCGGACTAACCTTCAATCCTCGTATATATAAACTTAAATCAATGTAATAAATCCCATATTTAATTGTCGCTGTATGATAATATATTTACTGTTTGTACAAATAACCTTAGTATTATGATTTTGTTTGATTCATATGCAATAGGGGGAATAATCATAACATTTTCACATTTAATATAACAGTACAACAAAATTAATTTCGTTTTAATTGATGGAAGAAATTACCAGAATTATACAAGACATTAAGAGTAAATGACTTTTTCCCACCCAAATAATAATTTAATGACACTTTCTCACCCATAGACTTTTAAAATACTACTTTACTGTTCAAATTTATATTCCGTTTCCAATTCTGACATCGTTGTGACCTCATATCACTATCGTTCTTTTTTCCAATCATCACTCATCAAAACCCCTTAAACTTTACCCCTAATGACCTTGTCAATCATTGATAATCAAGTGATTAATGTTTGCACAATCTGTTCTCCTAAGTTAAATTTTGATCAATCTCAATTACTAAAATCCAATCTTTTATCATCAAAAAATTTATCGGCTTTTCCTCTTTAAAAGTCTCAATAATTTGGATCGAGTTTATTCAATGTATTATCAAAATATAAATATAAATAATAAAATGATGGATGAAAAAAATATCATCCAGTATTTGAGTAAGAAAAAGTCGTTAACTCAAGATATTAAGCATGGATATTGTTTGAAAAAAGTGGCTGAAAACGAGAGAACGGTGGGTGACAATTCCAATAAGACTGGCTGTCCCCCTTTCCGGCTTTCCCTTTGGAGTCTCAAAATATTTTATTAAATTCATCACTACATGCGTGTCGTGACCAGCAACACTTTCAGCTCCTGATGCTGATTTCTTTTTTTCTATTTAATTCTGCTTCACTTTTTCAATACTGTAGAAAACTTGAAAGAGAAATGTTAGCTTAGTTTAGTTCTACTTTTCACAAGTGAACTTCACATCCCACGGTCACGATTTCAACTGAAGAGAGATTATTGGCTTCTGATCTTTCAAGATTCTTCCTTTGTTCTTATACTAGTCTTTCTTCCTTGGCCTACCACCTCCTTTCATTGTTGAATGCTGAGTGTCCACACCTCTTCTCACACTACCTACAAAACCTGCAACTTAATTTCTGTTTTATTTACTGCGCTAAACAGCTAAAAGCTGCTGCTCGTTGGGAAGAATCAGATGGGAAGTCAAAGTGCTTCTGCTTCAGATGAGAAGAAAATGATCACCGAGCCACTGTTGAGCGATAATCTGAACCCAAAGGGTGGCCTCAGAACCATGCCTTTCATCATAGGTAACTCTAACATGAATCAAAACCATTCTATTTAAATTCTTATGTACATGTAAATTTCATGAATTAATGAACTGTGTTTTGTGATTTCGACAGCAAACGAGGCATTCGAGAGGGTGGCGAGTCTTGGTTTACTGGCAAACATGATATTGTATCTATCAAGAGAATATAACATGGAAACTACAGAGGCATCTAATATACTCTTCATCTGGTCAGCTGTCACTAATTTTACGCCAATTCTTGGGGCCTTTATCGCCGATTCTTATACGGGTCGCTACCAGATGGTCGGTTGGGGTTCCATTGCTACACTCTTGGTAATCTTTTATTCTTTCAGTTCAGTTTTAGTGTTCATCATTTCTTGCATACTCAGATAGATCTCCTCTAGCTTCCCCTGGGTTATTATGTTATATTGGTATTGGTGGACCATGTTTTCCTTTTCACTCTTCCGAATTCTAAGACTTCTCCTCTTTTCTTTTTTGTATTTTTCGCCAACCTTCAATTCAATGTCTTTTTCTCTCCACAAGACAAATTTCCCTACACAACCGGCTTTGAATTCTTTAATAATTTTTGTTTCTAGTCTTATCTCTCGTCCCGCAAACAAAAAAATAGTCTATTAATTTCCGACAGATGATAACTAGTGTTAAAAGATACGATAATTCGTTCGACGGTTGGTGAGTTCAGATCTTCTATTCGGAATTATAGTAGTAAATTTAATAATTATTTGGCTCTGAGATTATACTCTATTGATTAATCATATATCTTTAAAAATCTAAAAAATTGTCGAAATCACTTGAAGTGCACAGAACCAAAATCAATTTAAGAAAAAAGTATACTTGGTTCGGAAATCGAATCCTAGTTTGATGTTAACAGTATGGATTTTCGGAACTGTGCCTTTCTCAAGATTTTTACATATTTTGACCTCAACTTTTTTGGCTCCAGGGAGCTAGCGAATTTTTGAGGCAAAAGTCGGAGAGAGCTGTATTGGATTTTGATTATATTATTTTGTTTATGACAGGATTTTCCTACACATATAGTGTCCTGAAAGCTGATATATGTTAACAATTCAACGGTAAATGTCTTAAGTCTTTGTAGTTCATGTCTAGGGTTCAAGTATTCTTTACCTAATTTAGATGCAGAATAGATTGTAAACGAAATTACCCAATTTGATTTTTTTGAAAAATATATTCTTTTCTTGGGAAACCAAGGTCTAAGTTCCTGTTTTCCCTGACGACAAGAAGACAGTGACTTGAGATATTCTGTCTAAATATGCAGTTTCGATCACAGAAGTTTTCAGTGTTAAGGTTTGTGTTGGAAAATAATGCTGCTGGCAATTGGCAGCATCTATGAAAGCTGATTGTCATTTTGGAATAAAAATGGGATATATGGAACCTAGTTTTTTTATTTTTAAAATTTGAAGAAGATTGATGCCAACAATAAATAAGGATTATTTTAGTTGTGTATTCTAAGGTAGCCTCTATTATATACAAATTATAGGAGTTTCTTTTTAACTTTTTCATGTTACAGGGGATGGTTCTTTTATGGTCTACAGCCATGTTTGAACAAGCAAAGCCTCCTCCTTGTGAGCCAGGAAGTAGCATTTGTGAACCCCCGACGACATTCCAACTTCTGTTATTGTATTCTTCTTTTGGTCTTATGTCTATTGGAGCAGGTGGCATAAGGTCATCCTCCTTAGCCTTTGGTGCTGATCAGTTAAGCAGGGGAGACAACCTCAAAGATGCAGGCATCTTACAGAGCTACTTCAGCTGGTACTATGTTTCAGTCACGGTTTCATCTATGTTTGCAGTAACTTGTATTGTGTACATTCAAGATAACATGGGATGGAAGGTGGGTTTGGGAGTCCCGGCTGTACTGATGTTCTTATCAGTTCTTTCATTCCTCTTGGCTTCT